GTTCATATTCCAAGATTTGTGATCATGTTTTATTGATTGCCAGTATAATGTAGGTTGTCAACCACACTGGGGCATGGCAGGGAGCTCCCTTGGGCGTGGCAGGGACCTTCCTTGGGTGTGGCAGAGGGCTCACTGGGGCATGGCAGGGAGCTCCCTGGGGTGTGGCAGGGGGCTCGCTGGGGTGTGGCAGGGTGCGTGACAGGGAGCTCGCCAGGGCATGGCATGGAAGTCGCTGGGGTGACAGGCAGCAAGGTTTGTCCTCTCTCTACCTCTACCACTCCCTATGATTGTTCTGTCACTGTACTTCTACTGCAGAAAATATGTTTTGGTCAATGTATCATACACTATCATGTTTCACGTTACCAATAAAGCCAAAGCTGTATGGATTGCCTTGTTGTCTTTGTGGGATGCTCGCCACTAATCAACCTGGACGATTTGTCATCTGATAGTTTACAGCTGTATTATGTTTGCATGTGGAGCATGCATTGAACCTGGTGCTTCCATGTCCGTGGGAGTGTGTGGCATGCCAACAGCTGTTGCAGTTCTGAGCTAACCCTTACTTTACTGCAATGAGTAAGTTTTATCCTGGTTTTACGCCGCTTCTAGCAATACTCCAGTAATGTCATGGTGGGGGACACCAGTAATGTCATGGTGGGGGACACCAGTAATGTCATGGTGGGGGACACAGGAAATGGGCTTCATACACTGTACCCATGTTGGGAATCGAACCCGGGTCTTTGGCGTGATGATTGAATGTTTTAACCACTAGGCTGCCCCACATTACTGACGATCAGGAAACATTACCAAATATTTGTAAATTCAGACTATATAAACAAATGCTGTGCAAGTGGCTGGTCCCTTCAGATCACCAGAGATGTTGAAAATGTAACTTATCAAGGACAACAAACATACACATTTGGTTTAGGTGATGCAGTTTTGAATATTTTCAACAAGATACTTGTCAAATAAGGTACAAATGGACTTAAGTTTTTTATCTTATTCAACTCCACATCCAGCATTATTCCAGCTATATAACTGCGACCTGTAAAGAATCAAGTTTGGACTAGACAATCCAGTGATTGATATTGAGAGCAACAATCCAAGCTGTGGGGGTATGAGGAGATGCTCTGTACCAGGGCAACCGTGAAGATCCAGTTAGAATTGATCTCCAGTAACCCATCCTTGTCGTAAGAGCCAACTAACAAGATCGGATGGTCAGGCTCGCTGACTGCGTAGATCAATGTTCATGCTGTTGATCCCTGGATTTTCTGGTCCAGATCCAATTACCGGTATTTACAGAGTGCGGCGCTAAACTAAACTAAACTCAATCACTCACTGTACCAGGTCACAGTGTCCTCACATGCTATCACATACTACTCATATATGACTCAGAATGAGGCAGAATTTCAGTTGTGGGTTGTTTTGAGCAGTATATTTGGTCACATTCCCAACCACATTGGTTGATTGGGAGCCATTCTATCCTAGAATCGACATCAGGTGTACAGAAGAAGAAAACTGAGAGCTTACAGTGACAAAACTATTTGCAGGATAATCTGACAGAATCAAATGAAAAGAAAACCATTTTACCACATTTGTGTATAGTTTCTGCTGGTCAAGTAAGTTATACCATACACTAGCACAGGGAAAGTGATCATGTCTAATAACTCCAATAGTTTTAGTATGTGCTTTTTAGTGATTATTAATGCTGATTAGTCAACTGAAGCCAAATGATGTCACAGTGCTTCATTGTTGACAGGGGGTGGGGTAGCCTAATGGTTAAAGCGTTGGCTCGTCACGCTGAAGACCCGGGTTCGAATCCCCACATGGGTACAATGTGTGAAGCCCATTTCTGGTGTCCCCCACCGTGATGTTGCTGGAATATTGCTAAAAGCGGCGTAAAACCAAACTCAGTCAGTCAGTCATTGTTGACAAAAATGTGACCTCAACTATTGGATCACAAAAATGTGACATCAACTATTAGATCACAAAAATGTGACATCAACTATTAGATCACAAAAATGTGACATCAACTATTAGATTGATGACTACAAGAGTTACTCTGTTCAAATATACTGGACAAAATAAGTTAGGGATATTGGTATTTTTATGATTGATATTTTATCAGTGTGTCAATGAATAAATAGATCATTATTCATAATTTCAAAATGTACATACTGTATATCCCTAACTATGCTGGGTTGAATAGGATTGTGCTGTTCTGCTGGTTCTGAAACGAGGGTTTGAAAACGGCATCCAGATGGTTAAAGTTTGTATTCATTATGAAGAAAATGTTTAGAGTCAGTAGCAATTTTTAAAGCGAGATTTGCAGTTTGCTATCAGCCACAGAGCTTAGGGTATTTTAAAGGGAAAACATCAAAGATGTCAGACAGAGATTTGCATTAGTCAGTGGACGTTTCCGGTCATCATAAGTAACTGTTCTGTGTGCTGTTGTACAAAGTGATCTTAGTGCTAAGGTGACCGTAACTCCCATATCTTAACATGGTGCTAAGGTTGCTGTGTACAACGGCACCCTGGAGTAATATAATCAGTACTGAATCTTTGAAGGGCATTTAGAAGTGGATTGTATAAGTAAAGCAAGATTAATGGATGTCAACTTCAACCTGATGAAGGAGCAGGCATACCCTCTGAAATGTGTTATTCACAATAAATGTTTGCCCATTCAATTCTTTTGACATAAGGGGCGGTGGGGTAGCCTAGTGGTTAAAACGTTCCCTCATCACGCCGAAGACTCGGGTTCAATTCCCCACATGGGTACACTGTGTGAAGCCCATTTCTGGTGTCCCCCATCTTGATATTGCTGGAATATTGTTAAAAGCGGCGTAAAATCATACTCACTCACTCTCTTTTGACATAAATTAAGTCAAGACACCTCAGTTATATATTTTATTACAACATCATAACCACCAACAATGAAGGACACTAGTGGTAACACAGCCATATGGAGTTGTCTTGGTGCTATCTGTTAGTCAGTTACTCGTGGCCACTATATATGTGTATCACAAGCTGGGATATAAATGAGTGAGTATTATGTTAAGTGCCCACTTTAAATGCTGAAAAGATCACATAAGTGCTCAAACATGTACAAGTTGTATCACAGTTCACTTGAGTATTTTCCAACCGCGTCATACCAAAAGACGTTAAAATATGGTGCTTGTTGGTCCCTGCCTGGCGTTCGGCATAAATTGGTACAACAAGGACTGATCGGCTCGGAGTCAGTATAATGTGTCTGAGTGGGGTATTCATGCTTCACTGCGGCATGGTATCAGTGTAGGAAAGATAGCCCGTCCCAACGTCCGAGACGGATGGATTTTGTGGAGGACGGGTTAAAAAAATATCTAGTCCGTCCTCATGTCGGGTCAATTTTAGCAAACCAATGACATATATATAATGATTATAACCTTTTTAAATATTTACTGCCGAAGGTGTTTTATTTATATTTGGAGGACAGGCTAGATTTTGGCAGGACTGGTAAAAAATTTGACCTGCCAGTCCTGTGGACAGGCTAGATTTTCTACATCTTTCCTACACTGATGGTATCTCAGTGGGCTAGCACTATAAAACCATCTTCAGCCTGGGCTAGTACAAGCAGCCGCACATACACATACACATACACACGCATGCACGTCGTCATATGAGGAAAATATTCTCAAGCACGACGTTAAACCCAATTCCACCACCACCACCACTTGAGTATTCTACATGCAGCCATTGCAGGGTGTGATTTCGCTATTTACAACCTGCACCGTGCATGTTCAACATGGCTGGTGCTGGTTGCCTTCAGTAACAGGTTGCACCCAGTGCACGTAACAATAAATCAACGTCTTACAGCTGTCATCGTGTGTTTTAATTGGGAAGTAAGTGACTGGAAGTAACAAGACTTGTTACAAACATGAACATTTGTGTACTCATTAATCAGTTAAATTGCAGTAATCATATAATTGAGATTAATAAATAAGGTAAGGCCAGACCAATTTTATTTCTTGTTTTACGGATTTTTGTCCTCAGAAAACCTAAAGGCAGGAGGGAAAAAAATAAAAAATAAAAATCACCAGTCAAAGTAATATTCCTTTTAAATACCAAAAGTATTTTATATTTGGCAATTTATGAAGTGTATATGAGTCAAAAAACAATCAAATTTTGTTGTTGTAAGTTAACATTTTTGGCCAATAAAAACATGAAGATTTTGTTGAATCATTCATCGTTATCATCATGAGGTCAACTTCTGCTGAATGAATCCGATACTGAGTGCTTGTTATGAGAATTGATAAACAAGTATTTATCTTACGTTTTAGAACCAATGACAATATTTTGTGGTGCAACCAAAATTTTGGTGGTGCAACCAAAATTTTGATGGTGCAGCCAAACCTACAAGCCAGGTTGCACTTGGTGCAGGTACTGAAAAAAAGACTGAAATCACACCCTACATTGTAAGCAAGTTGTGTTTCACACAATAGCACTGAGTAAATCATATGTTAGACAAGTGTTATTTTCAAATGTGTTTACAAATCCTCAGACTAAAAACATTATAATGTGAAAAATATATAAAAATTAAAGCAGTGGGTTTTTTTAAATATTTTCTTGACCAGACATAAGTAGGATTTTAAAAAATACAAATTGATTTACTGTGTCTGTCAATATATATCAGTTATTTAATATCCTTCCATTAAAACCTGTTAAAAATGTTATCTCATTGTTTTGAATTTTATATCTGACACTTATTCTATGGTTCTGATTTTTTATGTTCATGTTTTACATTAAGCAACTTCTAACAAATATTGGCTTGAACATTAAACATTGCATCTTGTGGTGTTTGTTTTGGTTACAGTTCTGCCAAATTTTATTTAAAACAAAAGTTGGTGTGACCCAAATGAGGTAACAGTATGTTATTATAATCATTTAATATTTGATGTGGTATGTCTCCCCAAAACAATGGAATACAGAAGCCATGGTTCCTCTATACTAATTGGTTTAATAATTATATAAGGCCAGACCAATTTTATTTCTTGTTTTACAGATTTTTTTCCTCAGAAAACCTGAAGGCAGGAGGTGAAAAAAAAAATAGAATAAAATGATCAGTCAAAGTAATATTACTTCTAAATACTAAAAGTATTTTACTTTTGGGAACTTATGAAGTGTATATGGGGCAAAAAACAATCTAACAGAAGTTTTCTTGTAAGTTTACATTTTTGGACAATAAAAACATTTTATTATTTTTGTTCTTATTCTTCAAAAAGTACTGTGGATTCGTAAAACAAGAAATACAATTGGTCTGGCCTAAAGTTCATATATCAGGGACATCTAGAGATTGACTAGTGTATTCATTCTGCACAGATGGAAGAGGATATTTTGTATATTTTCACTTATTTGCTGAAATTTATATCATCTGTCGAACACAAATGTCAACTATTCATCACTATTTGCTTAATTTATAATAGATATTGAAGAAACATATCCGTTTTTCAATCTTCCTTAAACATAACATTAAGACATTTACTATACCGTCTTGTCTAAATGATAGATATACTACTGGAAAGAAGCTAAAGAACACCTGATAATATTTCTATAATGTTATGGCAGATTAACTATAGTATTCTTTACTTCTCTTGAGTTGTATATCTATTTGTCATCACAATGAGCTGCCTTGAATCTTTAACCAGTAAATATTAGCTATCTGGACTGCAACACAAATATTTTCAGTAAAATTCTCTCAATATATGCTACATACATAGTCACAACACCCCCTGTACTACTTACCTAACACCATGTTCCATAAGAATACATGACACATGTTATCACAGACAAAGCTTTGGATTTGAGTTAGTATTAAATAAACAAGGTTATGAGTTCTATCATAATGTGTAAATGTCATAAGATGACAAAGACCATCTAAATCCATGCTAACCCTGGTATATATACATTCTTCTCCACGGTGCTTTTCCAAATATACTGATTCTGAAAACAAGGCACCATTGGCAATTTGGTTTTCAGAAAATAGTACAAATTATGTACATTCTCCTTGTTGATACACATCCTTCTGATATGTACACATCTGTCTTTTGTGTTCACATCATTCTGGCGCATACAAACAGTGTATGAAATATTTAAGCTCGTCCAACCTCCCGAGACGCTCTAGATTTCTGATGGACGGTCTAAATTTACAGCTAGCCAGCCGATGGTCTGGTAAATTTTTTTAGATGTTCCATACATCTGAGTAAATCCACCATGTTTGGTCTGGTTAAATCCATTTGGGGCAGGTAACATTTTGAAGTTACCAGCCCTGATGTCTGGCTGAATTTTTTACTTATTTCATACACTGCTATAAATCCTTCTTTTGTGTGCACATCCTTCTGGTATGTAGACATCCTTCTTGTACATACACATCTTTCTTGTGTGTCCACATCCAACTTGCACATGCACATCTTTGAAACACATGAAACTGCTACACTCTGTGATTAGGTACCACGTAAAGAATTAAAGGGAGATAACTCTACACTCATGTGTCACAACTATACAAAGTGTAGGTATATATGTGCTTAAAAATTAATAGGTATGGACATAATAGTAGTAATGGTTAGTTAATTGTCTTACAGATTCACTCAGCAGCATACTTCAAAGTAGAGAAATACGAAACATTTATATTTGATTTCAAATGTGTTGTCTTTTGAAGTATTATAAATTGATACAAAGTCTGTCATGGAAAGATGCCAGAAACAATGATCTGTATCTGCTGCCTGCCAATCTGTGCCATGGCCATGAAAGGTCGTGTTGATGATCTTCTGCTTGAAAGCTGACACACTACCTGCCTACTGACCTGTACCACAGCCAGACGGCATACCACTTAATTTTGTCCTTAGCATCCAATTTATGGCTTGAGTCATGTCAGCATATGCAGCTGGTATGTGTAGAGTAGACTGATATTTCACATAGAATACATGACCATGTGTGCTTACAACCTAAGTGCCAAATTTATTCTTCATTTTTCACTCTTTGCAAGAAACACGTCAATACTGGAATATTGGTGTCCACACAGACGTTGGTAATACATGTTACATACCATCTGCAATACCACTAACTAGTGCTTGGCATCCAGGATACCAGAATGGTATGGCATCCTCTTGGACAGTAGGGACAAGTTGATCTTCTACTTGACCGAGTACCTGCCTGCTGACCTGTAACTTGGACGTGTAGGGCTCAAGTGGTCAACCTGAGACATGTACAGTGAAGAGGGCTGTTGGGAAGAGCTGTAACATATTAAAGAAGCATTAGGACAAATATGGAACATATTGTTTATCAGTGATATTTTTTAAAGAGAAATATCAAATCAGAGTACCAATGGTATGTACCTTCTGTAAGTGGTTGACTTGGAACTTGCAGTGTACAGAGATCCAGGTCCTATGTACCTCTTGGACCAGCTGCTGGAGTACTGTGGCTGGGCTGCATAGCTGGAAGAAGACTGACCCAGGCCTGAATCTACATGTGAGGAAGAGGACAGCCGGGAGTTAGTGGACGAGAAACTGCAGTTACAATGAGACTCTGATCTAGATCGGGAGGATGGAAAATCTCGCTCCTTGTCCAAAGCCATCTGCCTCTTGAGTTCAGCTATGTAGTCCCTGTGCTGTGAGGCTTGTGATGATGTAGACGCAAGGCTGTATGTGTCCCAGCTGCGGTTATGGTAGTCATTGATGTCATGTTGAGACAGGGGGGATCGCATTCTCAGATCATTCAGCTCATCTTCTGAGGCAGCCAATGCACTTCTCTTCCTGAGATCCGTCAAGAAGTGAACATATTTCTCCATAGCATCTACAGCAGAATCAGTGCTGGAAACAGACGGGGACCTTTCATAGCCAGAATAGACAGACCTTAGGAACCTTTCTTCCTTTTTGGACCTCTCATAAAACAGTTGTTCCCACATTCTTTCCAGCTTGAAAGCTTCAATCTCAGCCCTTCTCTTCATTTTCATGATCTCTCTGTTGAGAAACCTGTTTCTGCTGTGTCCCCCAGCCTGAATGTGCCTCACCTCATCCAGACACAGTTTGATGGCCTTCTTGGACTCTTCAAGTTCAACTCTGCTTTGAAGAATGATTTCCTGTGTGATGTTCACCAGTTCCTTGCTTCGAGTGGAGTTTGGCAGTCTGGCCTCAAGTTCCCAAGAGTCTTCTAGGAGGGCTAGCAACTGATCAGTCTGCCCAATAGAGTAGTTCAGTTTAGCCTCAAGGAGTTCAACTGTCAAACAGGATGGCAAGTTGGGGATATGTAAGGCAAGAAGTTCTATTATCTCGATCCGTTCAGAGGCTAGTTTGTTCAGCTCGGTATGAATCTCCATTGTTTCATCATCAGTCATCACAGCCTTTGACGATCTCCTCCTGTCTGCCCACTTGTTGCCATGGAGGTTGCTGATGGTAATCTCCTTGTAGTAATTGTTCACCTTGTCAATGAGACTTCTCCTGAGGTTCTCGGAATAGAGGGAATCGTAGTTTGCTGGAGACACATCATCCTGAACCACCGAGACCGGTGATGCCCTGGGGGTGAGAGTGGAGTCACTCCAGTCATCGCACAGGTCACTGGTTGATGTACCAGCATCTACACGGATTGCTGGAATGCCCCGAGGATTGGCTAGGTCCCTGAGATCAGCTGTAGTGGTACCCACGGCAGTCCGTGCCTTCACATGCTTGCTCAGGTCGGAAGTGCTTGTACTCATGTTTTTCTTTGCTCCGGCTCCAACAAGTTTGTTCACCATAATCGGTTTGTATGTGTTTGTCCATGCATCAAACCTGTAACCGACAAGTTCATTTCATTTGAGTATTGGGACACACCATTGGATACACCTCTCTCTCTCTCTCTCTCTCTCTCTCTCTCTCTCTCTCTCTCTCTCTCTCTCTCTCTCTCTCTCTCTCTCTCTCTCTCTCTCTCTCTCTCTCTCTCTATCTATCTATCTATCTATCTATCTATCTATCTATCTATCTATCTATCTATCTCTATCTATCTCTCTATCTATCTCTCTATCTATCTCTCTTAGATTGAGGCATCTAACTACCAGCACAAAATTTAACCCACTCAGCCACTGCACATTCAACAAAATATCAGAGGGGTACATCTGGGTACCAGGAAGAACACCTGTGTGTCTAGCTATAGATTGTCCATTCATACTGGCTCCTCTAAAAATATTTCTTTTTCAAAATTGTAAATGCATTCAGTGCCTGATCCAGGGGTGAGAGGCTTATGTTTTTCACATCCGATGAAATTTTGTATGTGCCGACTGTGATAACACGAGAACATGACTGCAATATTTTGGGTAGGCTATTGGGTGGACTCCACCACCAGCTGAAGTTAGAAATGACCCCTCACTTTTTAAATCCTAGATCCACAACTTCAGTTGTTGAATATGTTGATCCTTCATGAACTTCTCTGAAGCAAAAATGCTGAGAAAGCCTATAGCTCAGTTGGAATTGTGAGGTTAAGTGAAGAATGGATTTACATGTGTTAAAAATATCGCACATATATAGAGATGTGCATGCATGTGTACGTGTGTGGCTGGTTGTACTAGTCTGTACTAGTCTGGACTAATGCTGGTTTCATGTTGCTAGCATGGACATGCCATTCCACAGTTTGTCATAGATACCTTCAGACACAGTATACTGACTTCAAACAAAACAGTCCTTGTGTTATTTGCATTGATCTCAAGCAACAGGGGGAGGTGGGGTAGCCTAATGGTTAAAGCGTTCGCTCGTCACACCGAAGACCCGGGTTCGATTCCCCATATGGGTACAATGTTTGAAGCCCATTTCTGGTGTCCCCTGCCATGATATTGCTGGAATATTGCTAAAAGAGGCGTAAACCTAAACTCACTCACTCACCCAAAAAACAGGCAGGGTAGCAACAAGTACCGTATTTTAACATTTGTTGTTATGATAGGACTGAACCCCCGACATTCAGCTCTTTGAGCAGACACCGTATCCATTACACCATGGAGGCAGTCAGTGGTAGTATTACACTGAAGTGCAGATTCAATCATTTCCAGGCCATTTAGATCAGGAATTACAATTTGCTTATTAAAATTAGAATGTAACACAAATTTCAGAATGTAATAATTGTCAGGATGGTAGTGGTTAAATATATCTTTCATGTACCACCATCACTCACTAAAGCCAATTTTCACAATTTTGATTTAATATTTAACATCACAAGATTGTATATGAATGTCTGTTACACTGTAATAAGAATTAGATTGAGACAATTCTGTTCATCAACAAGGGCATTACACACCCTTAATGTTCTTCATGACATAAAACAATAGTGTTGAATATAGCTATGAACAACAGTGCCTAGCTTGGAATTGTTTTCTGTTTCATTCAAGTTCTCTTGACAGGTATTGAGTGAGTAATTTGTCTTAAAACTCAGTAAGTATATATTTTATGTTAGAGTGAGTTTAGTTTTACACCACATTTAGGCCAGACCAATTTTATTTCTTGTTTTACGGATTTTTGTTCTCAGAAAACCTAAAGGCAGGAGGGAAAAAATATATAACTAAAATCACCAGTCAAACTAATATTCCTTCTAAATATTCAAAGTATGTTACTTTAGGCACTTTATGAAGTGTACATTGGGCAAAAAAACAATCTAAAAACAAATTTTCTTGTATGTTTACATTTTTGGCCAATAAAAACATAAGGATTTTATTTTTTGAGTGGGGAAAATAAACTTTTATTTTGTTTCTTATTCTTGAACAAATCTGACAGGAGGATCCATAAAACAAGAAATAAAATTGGTCTGGCCTTAGCAATATTCCAACAATAGAACAGCGGGGTACACAAGAATTGTTATGTGAGAAATCCTTAATCAGGTAAAAGACATTATTGTGACCATTTTGAGTACAACCATGGTGGAATGCAGAGGGTGAAAATCCAAGGATAATATCTGGAGCTAATACAGGATTCGAACACATCACCAGCAGATCCAGGCTGGATCAGACACAGTGCTACATTATACCATTTACACATTCACTGCTCGGGAAGGTGGGGTAGCCTAGTGGTTAAAGTGTTCGCCTGACACACCAAAGAACCAGGTTCAATTCCCCACATGGGTACAAAGTGTGAAGCCCATTTCTGGTGTCCCCAATCGTGATACTGCAGAACATATCACTAAAAGCAGTGTAAAACTAAACTCACTCACTCACATTTACTGCTCAAATCAATACAACCAACCAACCATTCTTATGCACAGAACAAGGCTTCATTGATACTAATGCACTTACTTGACTCTCTCTGTTTGTACGGCTACATGGTCCATTAAAGGCTTAGGAACTTCTGGTTCTATCTTGGGCACAACAGGCTTAGGAACTTCTTCTGGTTCCTTCTTGGGAATGACAGGCTTGGGGACATCATCTCCGTCATATACATGGACAAATTCTGAGAACTTGTCCATGGTCACCTCTCCACACAGCATGTCCAGCATGTCCACATATGACTCCTCGGGATCGTACGGCTGCGCAATGGTCTCTCTCTCTTCCCAAATGTACCGTTCCTCATTAGTTGCAGCAGGAAGTTTGGGACCAACAGTTATCCAAGTTAGAAACCTGTCGACCCTTGGACCTAGCCATCTCCAGCCCTTCTGAAAGTAGAACTGTATAAACCGTGGCCCATGTTCCTTATATCCATTTTCCACCTCATCGCTAAGGGCATGTACAGAGTTGTCTGCTCCTAGTGGGTACGAGTTTCGCCTTGTTCTATGTGTTCTTGCCCTCGAATATTTTGTCTCATCACGGACGTCATCCTGAGATTTCACTTTGCGATTCACCCAGTCATATACTTTACGTCTTACAGTTCTCGAATAATTTTTATCACCACTGTTCATTCTCCGATAATTTCCTTCAGGCAATCCTCTGTTTGACTTTCTCAAGAAATCATGTTTGACCTCAGGTGCTTTGTATAACCTGTCTATAACCGATTTACCTGGCTCTCCCTTCGGACTCTGAGGGGCTTTGTAAGAAGATGACTCCCTACCCAGAGAACTTATAGAGGTGTTTGAAGTTGAATATCTGGATATGTGAAAAGACTCTTGAGATCCAAGACTGCTCAGGGAGTTCCTTACTATCAGACCCTCATCACCTGGAAGACCAGGCTTGACCTGGAGTTTTCTAGATGATTGCATAGGCTTCTGTCTGAGTTCTTGTGCCCTGGTCATCTTGATCTCTGGGTGAGGCCATGTCTTCCTTACTGGACTGGGTGAGTGAGAACGTCCTGAGCTGGATGATTCCAGAAGGGAACCTGGCCTCCCGCGTGAATAGCTGGACATGTTGGAGAGGTGGTAGAAAGGCTTCTGGAAAGTGACTAGCTTGACCTTGGAAATACCTACAAAAACAAAACCAATAATAATGTATGAATATAACTTTTATAGATCTGGAATAGTAGCATTAGCTCAACTTCTCCATATGCACCATACATTCACAACTACTCAACATAGTTGCTCATACTTTTAGATTATTAAACAGTGGAACACCATTGTGTCAGACTTTGATGTATACTCCCCAGGGAGTTGAGATTGATAATACAATGTGCCGTTTGAGATTGACATCCAATGATCGAGGGAAAAACAAAGTGCCTTTGAGCAGCTGAGCTGGATATTGGCACTATACAAATATATATGAATAAATAATAAAATGAAATATTGAACTTTAGGTTGGTTCAGGGTGCCTGCTCCTCCCATATGTAGCAGCCATAAACAAGTCCCTTGCTGGGATTCGAACCACGGACCTTCTCATCTGAAGTCAGACACCTCGTCCACATGACCAAAGAGGTTAACCCCATCGGCAAGCTGACAAGGTGAGGATGTAATCTGTGGGATGACTCAACACCCTGCTATACATATATAGTCATCATTTTGCAGTTGTGCCAAATCTCTAAATACTTGAAGCATGTAGGTTGCTTCAGCTTCAGCTTCAACACAGTGGAATTTGTATTTAACCTGCTTTTACTACAGCTTATCTGTCCAGCTGGAAAATTGTTGAGTGAGGCATTAAACAGGAACAAAGTTAATCTGTCATACCATAATATTAAAGAAAAAGAATTGGGTTGTCCTAAAGTTGTTTTGAGAAGTATACAACACCCTGGGAGAAAAATTATAGGAAGAAGACATTATTAGGACCTTTCAAATGTCCCGTGTCTTTAACAACCGGAATCACAAATAACTATGAGTGGAGTAAAGTCTGTGCAGCTTCAGAAAACCATTAACACTGTCCAGTGCAGGATATGCTTATGCAGATATGCTTACTGACAGTCTATAAAAGGGCATTATGGAATTTGGGAAACAAGTTTCAATAATGTTGATCTGTGTTAATGATGCCTGAAGGTATGCACCATTGCTATAGTCTTGCTGTCACCCATGAAGATCCGGTTAGAATTGATCTTCAGCAACCCATGCTTGTCATAAGAGTGATTAATGGGATCGCTGACTTGGTTGACACATGTCATCATATTCCAATTCCGTAGATTGATGCTCATGCTGTTGATCACTGGATTGTCTGGTCCAGACTCGATTATTTAAAGACTGCTGCGATGATACAGCTGGAATATTGCTGAGTGCAGCATTAAACAACAAACAAACAAACAAATTATACCTGCTGTCATACATGGACATAACATACACTTGTTGTTTATTAAGAGTCACAATCCATGATGTATTTTCAAAGTATTGCAGTGTAATTCTCCCATATATGCCAAAGAGAAAATAAACCTCTTAATGAGCTTTGTATAAAACAGGTGACATTCATGTGGATAAATCCCTGTTTCTTAATATGCTTTAATGTAACTGTGATAGTATGTTGATCCACTGGCTTACACAGCTCACACAAGGATTACAGCACTGGCAGCGTTGACAGAAAAAATGCAAAGAGAATTTATCACTACCATAAATTTCACTTCAAAATCATTTTCTCAAATACACTCCTGACATTGTTTATCTTTGTTTCAAACACACAATAACATAAAAATAGAAGGAATTATATTTTGTTCATCAAACATGGGTTCATTCAAAATATAAAGACTGGAAGCTCTTGATAGGGGTTCAAAATAGTATTTTTTACACTTGTGAGACAATTTTATTACATCTGACCGATATAAATATTCTGGAGTGAGTATCTGGAGTTATATGGAGTTCCCCTTGACTGCACATGCACAATACATGCGTGCCCTTGTTCTTCAAAGAATTTATTGTCTTGTTTGTGTATTGGGACTGGGCAAGGCAGTTGTACAGTGACATGATGACAATATGTAACCAACATTTCAGTCAAAGAATCAAGGAAAGAATTCTGGATGTCAGCTTCTCTATCTAAAAGAGTAGAGTGCTTTTACATAATGGAGTAAAGATATTTTGTCCTTCATAAAGAATTATGCATTCATTGATATCTGCCTTAAGTGTGACGTCTACATGCCATTCAAAGACTAGTCAAAGTATTGTTATACCATTGGTGACCAAATGATTGTTATTTTCATGCGTTCTACAGTATTATGTCAATAACTTATGTAATCTGTGAATTCCTTGGATCTTGGGTTATCACCAGAATATCATCACTTGGTAATTGACTAAATTATGGTGGCGGAAGCTACACTTAATTTTACCTAAATTTGTCAGAATTTTGCTTCCTCAGCCCATAACCATTGAAGTATTAATAAACAAATCAGTACTGCAAAATGATTAAACCATCAACAAACCTGTGTTGTCAAGGACGCCGTTCTCCAATACGACCTTCTGCCACACAGTGTGATAGAGGAAAATGAAAACACACCCACACAGTGAAGCTAGAGTTGGTGAAATCCGTGAAGCAGGGAGGTTAACACAACAGCATCACAACACAAGCACCTGCACCACAGAACAGCCTCTCTAACCACTGAACACGATACACTGTGCAAACACTGAAGTCTTCAGTAGGAAACCAAATTGATTCAAGATGTCTCATGTCTATAGCCTTTAGCAGGAAGAGTAGAAACAACCATTCTTTACTGAAAGTGTGATGTGCGAAGAATCAATACTGTGTACTGTGACAACAATCGACCACGATGTGGGTCCAGAGTCACGGTCAGGCTGGCCAACCTACCTGTCGGGATGCAGACTCTACCTGCAGCGAGTCCAGGCTGGATGTCATGCCTGGCCAGTCACAGTATCATTACTGTCATCAGCCAAGCCGCATGCCATGTCCCATGATCAATAAACTGACAATTAGGAAATCAATAATGTATACTCAATAACTACAGATGAAACCAGTTTGGCAATCTGCTGTAACCCAGTTGACAGTTGACATAACGTGATGTTACACTAAGATGGAGAGAGAGAATCAGAAGTTGGGTCAGTGTCTTTCCTTACATTATATCAGATGTCATTTTGACATGGAAAATTAAAATATAGTATGCATGCAACTTGTCATAAAAGTTTTAATGTAAAATTACACCCACAACTGAGAGAGTCAATGACTCCAGCACCCTAGGTACCCACCCTTCAGACAGTCAATGGCTCCAGAATCCTAGGTACCAACCCTTCAGACAGTCAATGAC